CAATACTTGTAATCAAAGTCTGTCTCCTTTATTGTTCGTAACAATTGTCCAATTTTACTGTGCCAGCCCTATTTATTAAAAATAGTCAATAAGACGCAGCTTTGTGTGAGGGGTTTATAGACTGGCAGTTCTTGTTTGAAACAAACCAATTGTACTTGATTCTAATCCAGAACTGGGATTCCTGAGTGATCTGCTACAGCAGAGCTCATGGGGAGAGCGGTCGATGACTTGCTGATAAGAAATCTTAGAGCAGCATGCTTATCTTGAATTTACCTCGTGCTTTGCTCAAAGTGCTGGATTCAGAAAGGCAAAAATTGCAAGTCGCATTTTCCGCCCCCCTCCCGGCTTTACAGGCCTATGTTGTGCCATGCTTGTTTCCTGGTGCCCCCAAAGTATTGACAGAAATAATTGCCAAAGTCAAAATCTGCTTACAAACTGATGAGTAAGGGATTCAAGGTGAGAGCTTGTTGTGGAGGGAGCAGGGTGTGAGATCGGCAGCCATATGAAGAAGCACTACACACGGATCCTGCTTTCTTGGAGAAATACAAGGCGTCCGAGACCACTGTCTGTGCAGTGAGCAAGCACAGGATAGGAAGGGTGATGCCGAGCAGAAGCTGGAAAAGAGGTGCCAGTTGTGGCTGAAAGATCGGTAGGAATGTAGGAGCGGTGAGCTCAGCTTCCAGGGCTTTTGTCGTGCTCAGCAAACTTTTTCTGGGCCGGCATGGGGCTGTGGAGCGGGCCAGGGCTCGGCAACGTGTGCGTAAGCATTTTGGGAGAGGGGAAATGATGAGGAATTCTGGCAATGCCCGGCTGGAGGTGGGGCAGCATACGGCTGCAGGGAGGCAAGGGGAAAAGAGCTACGGGGCAAAGCTGGGCTTTTCGGGTGGTTTGGCTTTTAGTCACCGCCGCCGTCATAACAAGGCTTGGAGCCTTCTTCGAGTCAAGCCGTGGCTTGGAGACTTCAGAGGAAATGCTTGCCGTGAGCAGGTGGGATGGTTCTGATTCAAGTGGGAGACAAAAATCATTTGTTACCGTAACAAAAGCCCTTGCTTCTTGTTTTTAAGAAGGTGTGAAGCACGGCAGTTGGGAGGATGACTATTTTGAACCTCAATTGGTGCAGCAGTGTTTGTGGATTTGGCACATGAGCAGCCTCCTAGTCTGCCCATTTCTGCCCATTTCCTTATGGCTTTCGTGCTCTGCAACCAGCAAAGATCACTTAACTTCTCTCTTCACATAGCTAGCACTGTTTCAATTTGATGCCTGCCTCTTTTTTTTTTTTTTTTTTTCCATATTCATTAGAAATCTGTTGCAGACAGTTTTCTGTTTCTTAGAGGCAGTTTCCTCTTACTTTTAACATGCTCCCTCTCTTTTCCTATTACAGCGGGATTGGGGCAAGTCCTCTGTGCCCATGGCATGCCATTCCTGCAGCTTCTTAAAAACATCATATGCACCCCAAACTCTACTACTGAAACAAATCTAATCTTCAACATTAATAAGCAAGTGAAAATGCTATCTTTGCCTGAAAGATAAGGATTTTTGGCCTCGCAATTCATTTAACTTGCTTCTGAATGGTAGGATTTAGTTATAATATATGGTCTGCGGTAGTTACGTGACAGTGACTAATGCCTGATGACCAGTCTGGCTAGCTGGGGTGGAAAACTGCTGTGCTGTCATGCCCTGACCACTGAAAGTAAAGCAGTTCTGGATGGCCCTTGCTGGTAGCATGCTGTCAATCGGCTTCTTAATGACTCTCTTAAAGAATAAAAGCAAGAGCCTCCTGGAAAGCTTTTTTAGGTCTGTCCCTTCCTTGTTTCATTTACTGTGTCTCTTCCCTGCCTCCAGCTGTATGCCTTGTGCTGTCTCCAGTGTTTTGCTTCCTCCTTCTCCCACTGCTCTCATAACTTGTCCCTTCTCCACACTTGATTTTCTGCCCCACCTGACTGCTGCTTTTGAAATACACCACTTATTTTCCAATCCAGACTATTAATCTTTGTCCCACCTACTCACGAGGCATGAAGGTTTTACAGGAGCCCATTAGCTGTTAGCTCTATACCTACCCTCCAAAGACTCATGGGGAAAAACGAGGTCTAACAGCAAAGTGCCTTCTTGTAGGGACATCAACTGCTCTTTTTGGTAAAGTTGGCACCAAGCTCTGGTTGTAGGTCCCAGATTTCCTATCTGCGTGCCTCCACCCTACAAAAACATCTGAAACCTTGAAGCTCCTTGTCCTTCCGCTCAGAGGGGAAGAAATTCTTTAAAGTGCCTCTTATCCCAGAGGCTGCTGGGAGAGCAGAAGGGTGGTTGTCCACAGCCCATCCTGTCCTCCCTGCCTTGCTCGTCTCTGGTGCTGCACGGGGTTAATCTCTTCTTTTAGTCTGACTGCTGCTTGCTGGATCCTGATGGGTTTTAGGAGCAGCAGCAGGGCAGCAGAGCTGTCCCCATCGCCTTGGGAAGAAGCAGCACTGCCACACTCTTTGCGAGGAGGGCTGTCTGTAGTGATCACGAGGGCGAAACTCTTGATTCTGCAGTGGAGTGTGGCAGGCTGTGCTGGGAGGGTGGGGGTGGCTGGCAGGATGAGCCAGGCTATAAAGGGAGTGTTTTTCTTAGCCCTTATCTCTGCTGTCTTGCACCGGTGCAAATTCATAATGTACATGTGCTGTACCATTGTTATTTAAAAAAAAAAAACAAACCAACTTTCACCACTACTCCTTGCTTTTAGTTTGAAAACATGCTTTGAAGGCATACACTTTCGGGGGGGCTGTATATAGACAACATTCTGAGCCTTTGTTTATTTGTGGGTATCTGGGGCACTACTTCATTTTCTGCCCTGTTCTCCCCATACTTGCAGAGATTAGGGCTACCTGTGTCTGTCTGACCTGGCTACCTGTCATCTTCGGCGGGGGGGGGTGTTTGTCTCTCTTTATATATGCATGCTCACATCTCTTCCCCCTTACAGGCTTATTTTTCCTCTTGCTGTTTTCCTTCTGTCTGTCCTGCACCTTGGACAGTTTCCAGCCGGGCTTGGTGGATGGACTGTCCACTCTGGCTCTGCAGATCCCACTGCATGTGCTCCCTGGCCGAGCCCTGGGGAAGCACAGGGGAGAAGCTCGATGCAGGCAGCCTGCAAATGCTGCCTTGTTTATGAGAGCTGCTTGTTGGTGCAGACTGCAGTCTGGGGGGAGCTGGGAAAGTTTGTCTGGCGTAAAGCGCTAAAGCTGACAAAAGATTGTAGGGCTTGGGCTGTAATCAATAAAACACAGGGTATTTGGAAGCGAAGGTCAGAGTCCTTCCTTAGTTCACCCTGTTCTTTAAATATCCCAGCGGTTACTGATGGCTGCTGCAGTGCTTGGACACGGTGAAGAACAACACGGGCTTCAGTCCTCGGAGAGTCTCTGCTTTTATTTATTTGGATGCAGATCTCGCTCCCCTCTTCGATAAGATGTACAGTTTTGGGGACCCTTTCCTTGCACAGGGACAAGCACACGAAGTCCCTTGCGTAGAGGCTTTGCAAAATGGCAACCAATATCTGCTTGTCTGGGAGATATCCGTGGGCCCCGGTATGCTGCGGCTCTTGAACTCCTCTGCCTTAATGGGTCAAATTTAGCAATTCAAAATCTGGCTTGTGAGGTAATTAGGAGGGATAATGCCCACTTCTTCCTCTTAACACCCTGATAGAAAAGCATCCAGGAAGGACTCCTGGACCTCAAAGATAAGCTGCCAGCTGCCACAGAGACTATCAAAGGGTGGCTCAAAGTCAAGAGCAAACAGCTGATTTTTTATGGTTCTTGGGTTTTTGCTGTTGGTGACAGGAAGCCATGTTCCCCAAGCTGTTAGCTTCCTGTTTTATTTTTACACCCAGCCCAAGCAGATCAGCATGCCTATCACATGGGAGCTGGCTGCTTCTCTTGGGTTGTTCCTCAGCTGACCTAGAAAAGTGATTCTTTCCCCTTCTAAATTAATCAAGAAGTTGGGATGTATTTGCTTTCGCTTAGTCTTAAAGATTTCAGGCATGCATCATGCTCCTTGTTCTGAGCTGTTTACCCAAGTTACCTCCTCTCTCTTGGAGGCGGATGATCTGAGAGGGAGCCGTTTGTTGCTTCAACATTTCAGCCTGTTAGCAAAGGAGATTTTTGTTAGTTCAAGGCACTGACCTGCACATAAAGGCATTTTCTGTCCAAAGCATAACTTCCGGACACTTCTGTTTTCTTCTTTTTTTTTTTTTTAAAAATTTTTTTTTTTTTAAAGAACTGGAAGTTTGTCCTGACTGTTGTACAATCAATCTTGACTTCTTTCTGAGCACGCTCTAGTCCTGCATCCTGATTAGAGCTCCCTCAATGTTAAACTGCTGTAGCACGAAACAATGGTCCAGTGTAAACCTCGGCCCCGGGGGATTTCCCAAGGGAAGAGGGGTGCAGCCTGCAGGATAAGGAACAGTCACCAGAAAGTTTCCTGGTCAGCTGCAAGCGCTTCCTGTTGTTTCAGGAGAGCCCTGTCTGTGCTGCTCCAGGAGGGAGGCACCACGCATGCTTTGGTGTGCTGGAAGAAGCTGGGGTCTTTTTTTAACATCTCCTGTCTTCATCCTCTTGGTTTAAGCAGACCTATTGATTGCAAGTTTAAAATATTTCTGAAGAAGAGCTTGTAAGACTCGCCAAAGACACTGTGCGGGAGGAAGGAGACTGCTCAGAGACGGCGGATGGGTAGGAAGGGAACAACAGCTGCGGTAATGCCAGCAGCACCTTGCGTGTGGGCGAAGATGTGTAGTTTTCCATCTCTGCCTCTGTACCTGAGCTGGTGGGGCTTTGCTGTCACTGCAAGTCATAGAACAGCAGGATCTTTATTTCTGATGAACCAGTCTTATAAGGGTGGGGAGGGGGAAAGAAGGCTTATAAATAAAGCCATTTGAGAGCAGGAAAAACGAACACCATGGCTCTGGTGTGCCTGGAATTTGCGGTTGAGTAATCCTTTCCTGTTTCTTTTTTGGGTTGTTTTTCATCTTTCAGAACAGTGCCTGAAGCAGGTCCACCATGCCGTTAGTAACGAGGAACATTGAGCCAAGGCACCTGTGCCGTCAGACGTTGCCTAGCGTTCGAAGCGAGCTGGAATGCATGACCAACATCACCCTGGCAAATGTCATTCGACAGCTGGGCAGCCTGAGTGAGTACCATGGCGAGCCTGCGCGTTGCCCTCAGGAGTCGCTAGTGCTCTTTATTTAGCTCCCTTTCTACTCTCGTGTTCCTATTTCTCCCCCATCTGCCTTCCCTGGGTAATGCTAAAATGTTTTCCTAAAGAAATCTGATGCTAATTTCATATCCCTGGTCCCACTGCCTTCCTATCTAAGAGAAAATGGGGAGGGGGGGGTGTATGTCTGTGTGCGTGCATGTGTGAGAGGCTGCAGCGAAACTGCAGATGGAAGGATGGAGCACAACTCAGGCTTGTAAAATGGGAGGCTCTCCGAGCAGCCAGGATCTTGTGTCAGAGAATGTGCCTGTAATTGCACGCGCTACTAAATGGAGCTTGACTGCGTTGAATCTACAGTGTGTCAGTAGTCTTATTTTTAATGAAAGATAATTAAAGCGCACACGCAGAAGCTGCCTGTTTGCCCCCGCTGTTTGTTGTGTTGCAAGACCCAAAGTCCCCAGTCTGAGCCAAGCGTTGCCTCTGGAGTATAGGGGATTTGGAGCTGCTTGCTCAAATGGCAGCACGAGCTGTAGCGATGCCTAGCTCAGCTCTCCAGTGGGCTGACCAATAGCCTTGTAAAGGCTGGAGGGAAAACGTGGGCCTACATGCTGTAGGAGAAATGAAGAGTTAATTGTGGTCTCTCCGGGATGACTCCTTACTCTGTTGAAATGCTCTGGATTCTGATTAGCCACCTTTGCCCTTGAAGCAAGACTTTGATAATCAAATTAATACATTGTTTAGCTTCTGCGTGGTGTCTGCAAGCACCTCTGCTTGCTCTGCGAAGCAAGCCCCTTGTCTTCTGCCATAGCATGAATGTGGCAGGGAAAGTTGGAGTGCAGTCTCTTTCCAGCAGTGAAAACCATGGTTGCTGCTAAAATCTGGGCCTGTGTTTGCTGCCAGTCGGTATCACATTCTGTTGGGTTGTAGAAATGTCACTGCACAGGCAAGACCAGTCTCTCTGCTTGAATTCAACTGGCCCTTGTTGTTCATTTGTTAGGTCTTGTAGCCAAGATGGTTGTGGAGTGTGAGGAAAATCCATCTCGTGCATGTGAAATGATGAGGAAGAATCAGTAAAGCTGTGCAAATCTCAGCTGCAGAGAAAGCTAATCCCAGTCCAAAGGCATGCAGTGGGTTAGTGTGACAGAGCCGTGGTGAGATCCTTCAGGTTTAGACCTTCTTTGCGCAGCTCAGATATTGAAAGCTTCTCTGCTGCTACCTCATCAGAGAGGGTGAAGTGCTGGAAGCCAAATTGCAGCCCAGTTTCTTTATCGGGAAGGTACCCTGGGAGCCTCACTCGGCGATGTGGGGAGGGAGGTGCGTGCTGCTGGACCAATCGCAGATACCTCGAGCAGAGCGCTGGAGGGAAAACTCGGGAGAAGTGGCTCTTGCTGACACTTGCGTGCTTGTCTGTGTAAGAGGGGAGTGAGGCAGGTGGGGAGGAAATGCTGAGCACCGTCTCTTACCCGCTTCCCTAGGGTCAGCAGTATTTTAAATGAAGCGATATTTAGACTAACTGCTACAGAATGCTTGCACTCAAATGACCAAACTCCTGCCCCCCCTCCTCTTTCCTTCTTACTTCTGAAAAAATAAATCCGCTCCTTCCTCGTACGTTGAATATTACAGGAACGTAAAGCAGGTTCAGTAGGCTGTGACAGCCCTGTCAAGTGAATAATCAGCCATGCCTAGTGCACCACAGTCTCTTTACAAAGATGCAAACATAAATCTTGTCAAACTTTCATATTCCAGTGAGTTTACCCTTCGTTACTATCACAGCTGGTAGCACTTTGTATAAGTCGACTGTGCGTTTCTGTGTGATTTTATAGAATCCACAAGCTAAAGATGGAAAGACCTATTAAATCATGCCGTCTGTCTTCCTGCCAGTGCATGACAAAGATAATTCTGATTGTAAGCTGCACTTTTGCAGTCAAAGTAACTAAACCAAAAAATTAATCTTTGCCTTACCCCATCTGAAAGTGTACATGAAACACAGAATGGTATGAGAGATGCTGGGTGATAACTCTGTACAGGTGTACTTACACAGGCAAGGGAATATGGACCATTGCTGCTTTCTCCTTCCAGGGTCAAGACCAGTATATACAATGCTGTTTATTATTTTAGGCTTGAAACATACTACTCAGTATTGCAAACCAAAGACTTCATTTTTTCCCTAGTGCTTGTTGCAGTTCCTTGTGAAATTCAGAAATTATTTTCAGTTCTCATTAAAGTAGAAACCAAATTACAATTTTTATTTTTTGAACTGTTGCTGGGAGCTGTCAAATTATGCCATAGATAAACGTTCACCCTCTTTGGTCAAATAGGAGAGCTGGTCTTGTGCTGATGTTGAACACGGGGAGTGCTTCATGAAACCTGGCTGTAGCAAGAGCTACCTGGCCCTTAGGTCTCCAGAAATAAAATCCCTCTCATGAGTTTGAGGAAAGCTGTTTGGGCTTGTTAATGGCACGTATGTGGAGTCTGTATTGTCTAGGAGAGTGGAAGGAGGAGGTCAGTTGAAGTTAACTTCCAGCATTTGCTTTCTACAAACACTTCAAGCTGGCATTGCCACCAAAAGGGGTGGAGGAGGTTGATTTTTAACCTGGCTGGTTCCCCGTGCTTGGCAGTGTAAGGAGAACTGCATGGGAGTATGAACAAGTAGCTGATACGTCAGTTTAGATAGCTGAAAGTATTTGTGCAGCTGGGCTTTGGGGGATGCCCTCGCGTTGCCTTGTGGAAGGGGCGCTTCTCCTTCTGATGTGACTCATTGCAGACAACCAGATTTTCCAAAATTGCTGTTAAAGTTAGGCTTCCAACTGGTTATGCTTTCCTGAATGTCAGAGAGGATCTTTAGGAGTAACAGATTCCAGAACGAACTGTTGACCATATGATGATGCACTTCAAAACCAGACAGCTTATTGGGAGCAGTCTTGTACTCAACAGCCGTGGCTGGAAATGTTTCCCGTCAGTGGGAACTCCATGGGCCTATGTTTGCTGTCAGTGCCAAGTCTGTTCTGATCAGTATTGTCCTCAGCGTGGTTAGGGCTCCCTGTCTTGGGTTATGCGCGAGAGCAGAACAAAAAGACAGTACTCGTAAGTTCTTGGGTTTCTTCCAGTTCTCCCATCTCTGTCTACCTGTGGTCATCTCTCGTTGCATGCGTAGATTTTTAAACTCTTAAGGACAGGGGACATCTTTTTGTTATGCTTGTAAGTGGTGCAGCGAGCTCCTGATCCAAGCCCCTAGGCACTCTCACAGTCCAAACGATGGATGATGTTTGTCATAGCAGTGCACTGGGCAATCCAAGCTGTTGCAGAAAGAATATCCCTGTTTGAGAAGTTCCCCTTTGGTTTTGATTTGGAATAAACGTGAATGCATCAATTTTTCAGACACTGCCACCTGAAGGAACAAAAGGGTCAGTGCTTTCATCTGTGGTTATAGCTCAGGCTTTAGGATCAAGGACTGGGTCTGCTCTCTAGTTGCAGACTACTTTGAGCTTGTAAATATGTGCCAGTTACCCTGGAGGCAGGCCTGCTGGAGACTGGGAGCCTTTGAGATTCTCCAGAGCAATAAAAATCTAACTGTATTTGCCTGTCTAATAAACAGAACAGCAGAAAGTCTTAAAGGACCTACATACCCATCCAGATTCAGACCATTATGGTATTGTCAGCCCTCTTTATTTTGTTACTTTAATAACGACCTGAAAGTATGTCTCGATTGTTTCTTTATTGCTTGAAGATCCCTTGGAAATGTCAGGTTTTGGTGGAACAGAACGTTTTCTTCCTGGATGTTAAACTCAACCCTGACAAACTTTAAAAGAAGCATGGTTTGTTCGTTCTTCTTTCTTCAAGAAAACAAGGTGGGAGACTGAATGTGGTCTGATGTGGCTCACAAGGGTAATGTGGACACTTTAATATTCCAGGTAAATTTGCAGAAGACATATTTGGAGAGTTGTTTACTCAAGCCAACACCTTTGCCTCTCGGGTGAGCATTCTAGTCGAGAGAGTTGACCGCTTGCAAGTCAAAGTCACTCAGCTGGATCCCAAAGAGGAAGAAGGTAATGGAGTGGAGCAGAGTCCTTGCAGACCAAGCGTGGTAAAGATTCTCATTGAGTCAGCATGGTTGGTTCACAGCCATAAAGTGAGCATGACGCTGCGATGGGTGTTGGAATGTCTTCTCTTGGACTAAGAGGGACCATTTCCTCCTCTCCTGAAAAAGCACCGTGCTGCTCATGTGGATAGCCTTTTTGACTGAGTCTAGCTTTGCTCGTTAGCAAGTCTCCATGTGGAAACTCACTTTTCAACAGTTTGATAGCGGTGCACTTCTTGAGTCTTGGTCGCAGGGGTTCAAAACCACATCGGCAACTCTCAAGAGAGCCATGTCTATACAGCAGCAGATCTTGGCACGGCATGATCTGAGCTTTGCTGGGTTTCCCAAGAGATCTGTGGGAAAAGGAACCTGACCTTAAGAAGTGCTAAGCGTGCCAAGAACTCCAACTGAAATCAGATGTTCACTACTTTATCTTCAGTGTCATTGGCCTGGGTCGAGCTGTTCTTCACTTGCTCTCTCCTCTTTCTTACAGTGTCCCTGCAAGGCATTAACACCAGGAAGGCCTTCAAAAGCTCTACTACTCAGGACCAGAAGCTCTTTGATAGAGATTCTCTTCCCGTGCCTGTCCTTGAAACCTATAGGACCTGCAATACTCCTCCACCTCTCAACATTCTCTCACCTTACAGGTATGCCTGCAATACCTTCTTGGCCCCTTGCTCCCTTGCAGAGTACCTCTTCCTCCCAACCTGCCGAGGAGGTCATTTCCCATCTTGTGCTGTATTGAAGTATCTATTTCCACTGGGAAATCGAGTTGCTACACTGAGATCCACCAGGAAATCTCCATCCCCCGGATTACGTGGAACTTTGCTTTTGGGGCTGTACAAATGAGGGTAGCTAGAAAATTATATATTTGGTTACCTGCTGTCACTTTTGTGACTGCCTTGGGGCAAGGCTTGGCTGGCACTGCATAAACATGCTAGGTGTTGTGCAGATGATGCATTTTTCTTGTGCTTCTCTGTAGCCCTGTGGCTTCTTTCCAGAAAGCCGCAGTGCAAACTGCAGAGCATACATCTGTAAATGGCTCTCACCCAGGTGGGTGCAGCAGACTCCTGTAGATCTGGAGATGCTTTCTGTGGCCTCCTGTGCCTGGTCTGAGACATCTGATGTGACCTACGCTGGCTCTGTAACCAGTTCTTCTGAGCAGTCCTGCTCTGATTTCATCTTGTAGGTAGTAGAAGTAAAGGGGGTCAGAATACAGAGACTTAGCCCACATCCATAAATATCTTTTGAACAGGTAAAAAGTAATTACAGATAGCTGGAGGCAGCTGTCTTCTGCCAGACGCGGCTGCACTGCAAAGTAGGAGGAGAGTGTGTGTGTGTGTGTGTGCATGCACGCTCACTCATGAGTTTCAAGGACGCTGCTGGTCTGATTTAGGGTTCCTGAGCTGGAGAAGGTTTTTTTCACACCAAAAATACAACACAAACAAGTGGGAGTTGAAGTGAGAGACCTGCTGCTCTCTTGGTGATTGTTCAGAGCAGTTGAGCTCTTCAGGTGCTGAGTAATGGAGAGTTTGTGTGAGGACAAAAGTGATGGCAAGTGGGAGAGCCAGGACAAGTGAGGCTGTGGGTCCGCTGCCTGTTCTGAAATGGGGGACAGAGGGAAGAGCAGCATGTTTGACCTTCTCACTGCAGACTTTTAAACTGTCATCTGGGGTTAGGCCTTGCGTTTTCTTTGGGTTTCAAACAAATGTGTGACTTTTTTTTTTGTTTGTTTTTTTTTTTTTGGTTTTTTTTTTTTTTTTTTTTTTTTTCCCCCCTGTTCTAGGGATGATGGCAAAGAGGCACTTAAATTCTACACGGATCCTTCATATTTCTTTGACCTTTGGAAAGAGAAAATGCTTCAGGACACCAAGGATATTATGAAAGAGAAGCGGAAACATAGGGTGAGGAAATGGGAGATCTCTGCCAACAGAGGCATGTCAGGGAAGAATAGGAGGTGGGAAGTGTTAATAAATCTTGGACTCCAAAATTGCTATCCAAAATTCAGGTTTGCTCTTAAGCTCTTTAGGGATCAATTCAGTGAAGGTTTTTTCTGGTTTACTCTCATCCTTGTTAATTAAAAAAAGAAAACAAAGATACCCTTGATCTCTTTTTCCAAATGGCACCATCTTTGTATGGTTACAATGGTGTAATTTGTAGTTCTCAAACGTAGTGCTGGTGCAGTCAGCAGGGGAGAAAGTTGTATCGGAGTCTTTTCTGCACTTCTGATGTTGCATAGGGGGTCTGTTCAGTGTTGAAGCAGTGCAAATCCCACTGCCCCAGCACCGCAGCGTGTTGAGTGGTGTAATAAATTCAGCAGTGGAAGAATAAAGAAAAGAGAAAATGTCCCTTCAGGAGTGCAAAACCAGGCCCTAATGTTAAATTAGGGGCAAGTGGGAGGCTTAACAAAACCATTTAAGCAGAAAATGGCAGGTAGAGTTCCTGGTTTGGTTGCCTGGGGATTTGGACCCGTGTTTACCAACACTGAAACTTACACCATAAAAGATTCAGTTTGAGCATACTTTGTTTAGCTTTTGAGCAACTGGAGTATTAAATATCAAAATAGATCATGATTTTTCAGTCAGAATAACAAAGGAGAGATTTAGGCCATGTTAGAATACAGAGTGAGGCTAGCTAAAGCCTAGTTCTTTGTGGGCAAGTGTCCATGTTGCACCTCAAAGCACTTAACACCAGCAAGATGATAGTGAGATTTGGCAGCCTTGACACAGAGGCCAAAGACTGAATTGATGTGGGAAACTGAGCTTTCACTCTGCCCTCAAGGTGGTCATGCCAGGGAGTAACGATGGCATCATGTCTGGGCTGCACTGGGGAAATCTGATGTTGTCTGTCTTTTTTTATGCTATCTCTGCTCCAGCTTCTTTGTATGGGAGATCTTTGGAGCTTGCAGCAATCAGGAAAGTAAATTAAAAATCCTGGCCCTCTTTGAGAATGTATCTTATTGAAACTGCTACAGGTCTGTCCTATCCCTCCCTGTTCCCAGTGAGTTTAAAGCAAAATAAGGCTTCTGTTTGATTCCTCCTCCCTTAGAAAGAGAAAAAGGAGAATCCAAACAGAGGAAATGTGAATCCACGGAAAATCAAAACCCGGAAAGAAGAGTGGGAGAAGCTGAAAATGGGACAAGAATTTGTTGAGTCAAAGGACAAACATGGTCCTGCTGGGTAAGCAAGTCTGGGGCTCTCTGTTCAGCTCCCCAGTGAGGGGGAGCAGGCGGGCGTTGTTGATTGTAATGCAGTTCACCCTGCTCTGCAGCTTCTCCAGATCTGCTGCACAGTGCGGATCGATACTGCCACTAATCAGATTCTCCAAAGTAAATCCGTCTGCTGATTTAAAATTTGCTAAATAAATCAGGGAGCTACATGGTTTGAACAAGGTGGCAGGAACAGCTTTGGTAGCAAGTCTGCTCTCGGCTGCCTGTCTTGTGGGCACAAAATTGTTGAGAGCTTTGGCTCCCTACCCCATCGCGGTGCCCTTCCCATCACACCTAGCCTCTGGACCTTACGCTGAGGAGCAGGGTGGCATCTCGGTGGTATTGTGTGACTGCTTTGTAACATTTCACAAATGGCTCTTCACACCCTAAAGTTGAAGCGGGGGCTGTCCCCATCCAAGTATTTCAAGCTACAGATCTCTCTTTAGCGCTTCTGGCTTGGGAATTCATTTAACTTTTGACACCAGCAAGGCTGGAAGCAGACCGAATTCCCCACAATGCACTTCTCGCTTGCTCGCTCCTTGCAGCTTCCTTTCATATAAGAAAAATCTCTCTTTAAATCACACTCTCCAGCTAAAAATAAAACTTGCTTTTAGTTTAATAGGAGAACAGGTTTGGTTTCTAGCAGAGGAATTGAGCAGCACAACAGCACCATTTTCTTGCTCCTCTCTTCTGGTGTAAGCATGTTCATGTATTTGAATTCACTGGAGGTCCAGAGCCCCCAAGAATGGAGTGGTTCCACCGCCCCACAGTGAAATGAGCTCATTGAAAGTTGACTGTGAGAGTGGTCTCTTCCTTCAGTACTATTTGAGCTCTGGATACTTGCTTTTAATAGCATCGCCATTCCTTGGGTTCTTTTTGATACTCTATTCTCAAGCTTTTTTTTTTTTTTTTTTGGCATCTAGGAGTACTTCTTCTTTTTTTGCCACTGAGATACCCAATGTAACTGGGAGTCCTTCAAGTCCACACTGGTCAAAACACGCTCTTATAAATGTTTTATCTAGGATCAAATGTTAAGAAATGTATTTTTTATTTTGTTGTTTTCTTGTTCACTAAAATATATACTCGTGCTGTTCTGGTGTGTGGTAGCAATAAACAAACATGAGAGCATCTGGGCAAATTCTAGCCAAAGAATTATGCAGAGCATACTAATACAGCTGTACATAATTCTTCATATAGGATGCTTTGAGAAACAGAGAGTTTTTTTTCTTTTTTCTTTTTTTTTTTAAAATGTTGCTTTAAGGTTTTGTTTTGTGTGTCCTCTCGTCGTGGTTGATAAGGTTCCACCTAAAGGCAGGTCCCACTGTGCTGGGAAAAGCCATTCCTGCTAGAAGACCTCATTTCTAAATCTTGCAGGTTGATCCATCCACCTGGTTAATATCACTGCCGTTCGGTGGTTGAACTGCTGCACGGTTGTTTGTTGTAACCATTCCAGGAGGCAAAGCTCTTGTGAGTGAGGGGGGGGGCGGGAAATGAGCTTTAGACATTGCCTTGAACTCTTTAAATAAATCACTTGTCTTGCTTTCACTCAGGTACCCCTCTAACATGGTGTATCAGAACGGCAGCATCGGTTCAAACGAAAGCATGGACGTGAACTGCTACCCGCCACCGCCGCAGACTGACTCTATTGTGCCACCACCTCCTTCATTCCCAGATGACAGCCTGCCTCCGCCCCCGGTGGAATTTAGGTAAGCCTACGGGATCCCTTCTGTCACCAAGGAGTAGTAGGTGGTGTAAAAGGATGACATGAGACAGGCTGAGATAGTTCAGCATAACTTCCTAACGGGTGTTGTATGGGAACCAGAATGCTCCTGTCTGGAGGGGAAGTGCAACTGCAGGCAGGGACAGAGGCACAGGCAGAACAGCTCTCCGTAAATCCCGACCACCATTGTTGTTCCCATACAGAAGGGGACAGTGGGCTTGGGCAAGAAGTAGAGCAGGCTTATTTCACTTTCTAGAAGAGTGGGGTCCCAGTTAATGGTTTGGCTCCATTGCATGTGCTTTCCAATGCAGTTGGTCCAGAGCATGTAGACTTACATTCCTGATAGAGCTGTGCAAAGAACAGTTTCTTTCTCTGCTGTTTTTGTTACCATTTGCCCTATGATCTCTGACAAATGCACGATGTGGGCACTGAAGATGTAGATGTAGTTAAATTTAAAGGACTTGAGCACACCAGCTGACTTCTTCCCAGAGACTTCAGTGCAAGTTCAGGGTAGCTGCTTTGTATCTGATGAAATGGTGACTTCCAGTCACCTCTAGAGATGAGAATTATGGTCCAGCAGTAGCTCAAGACACAAAGGGTGAAACAAGAGAGTAGCCTTTTTTTTAAAGGCAGTAAAACAGAGTCCAGAGTAACAGGAGGAAGTGTGTCTGATAGACAGGACTGTGTTAGCTTGTCTCCATCTTATCCAAAGGCAGCAATGCTGCAGAAAAGGCTCTTCTGATGTGTCAAAGAGACCAAGCCCTCCACTCTGCAGCATGTTCCTCTAGGGCAGAGCAGAAACAAGCTTTCAGATGAAGCTTATGCTGCCTTATGCAGTTGCTTAGATCTCTGCCAGCCACAGAGATCTCCTTTCTCTGGTTTTGTTTTGGTGGTTGTTTTTTAAAGAACCCTGGGAGCTAGGTTTGATCTCCAGTAGTCTGTCTTGGATCAGCACTGTGCACTGTTAAAAATTGTGACATTTTTGTAGCAAAAGTACCTTATTTTTCTGTCTTACTGTGGAAGGGGATGTCAGTTTAGGGCTTCCTTTACATGTAGATAGGATATTACAGTATCTTATGGGCAGTAGTGTTTTCTGGTATAAACACAGCTTCCAAAAATGGGAGATTCAGTTGCTCATGAATAGGTGTTTTCCTTAAGAGCACGTTGGGTTTCATGTCTTCCTCTTCACTCCGCATGGTGAGCTATGAGACATGGCTGCTGCTCTCCAGCTCTGAGCCATGGAATCCGGTGAAGAGATCTGTTCCTAGCAGGTGTTCAGAGCATATGCTTTCCTGGCACACCCACCAATCCTTGTGCGATTTATCACGGTAGACATCCCTGCTTGGCGTGTCATAAGTCTGACCTCAGTGTGGAGGGGTAGTGGCTTGCGTTGCTGCAGGAGCTCTTAAGCCAGGAGGCTGCTCTGAGCTCAGACGTGACGCCTGGCCTCTGGCGGAGAGGTGAGATGGCTCATGTTCTTGTCAGCCTGGGAGATGGGATGGATGATAGCATTTCTGCCAGTCCCTAGAAGCTTTCTTTTGTTCTGGTGGTGTAGGCCAAAAGAAACGCTGCGAGGGAACTAAAACCAAGGAGTGAGGTCTCTTGGAAACACCAGTTAAAGCTGGAACTTAGATTTTTTTTTTTCTTTTTTTTTTTCTGGACTGCACCAAACACACATGATTTGCATTAACATTGAGATTGTACAGTCTAATCTGGCCTCACATCTAATAGCCTTATGTCTCTTTCCTTCTGTTGCAACAGCTATCCTGTAGACAACCAAAGAGGTTCTGGTTCTGGAGGGACCAAACGATCCAGCCTGGTTAGCCCAAGTCACCCACCACCAGCTCCTCCGATCGGATCCCCCTCAGCAGCCAGGCCAGGCTTTGCTCCCCCTCCAGCGCCACCTCCACCACCACCACTGCTGGGAAACACCTCCCCTCCACCACCTCCCATGGGCTTCCCATCCCCGGGAACTCCACCACCACCCTCACCCCCTTCTTTCCCTCCTCACCCCGAGTTTGCTGCCCCGCCACCACCACCACCCCCTCCGGCAGTCGAATATGCCAGCGTGCTCCCACCTCCGCTGCCACAGCCAGGCAGTGGGAATACGCCGCCTCCCCCTCCACCACCGCCTCCTCCTGGCCCACCGCCTCTGTCTTCCAGTGGCCTGGATGGTCCCCCACCCCCTCCTCCACCTTCAGACACCTCTGCCTCCAAGCCCAAGTCATCCTTGCCTGCAGTTAGTGATGCCAGGAGTGATCTGCTTTCAGCTATTCGTCAAGGTAAGGTTTTGTTTCAATACCAACTTTCTCCTTTGCCTCTGGAAAAACCCCGCAGTATCCAAGTGAGAGCACTTGGGAGCCATCTCATGAGCAGTGGTGTGACTGTCTTGCTGCTTGAGACCTGTTCCTTGTGGTCCCTCCTTGTCTGCCCACCCTAATGACAACCTCAAAAGGTTTTGTGCCTCTACCTGCACCTTTGGAGATGGCAGTACTGGAATTGGTGTGGTCCAAGTTTGCAAGTGGATTGAACAGCAGTGGTGGTGTAACCCCTCAGAGGAGCACAGAAACGATTCGCTTCCCATTCCACCTGCCCACCCAGCCTGTCTTGGCTGTCATTCACCATCAGCATTATCCCACAGCCTGTCCAATACTCACTGGCAGAGGACAGGCTGCCTTGCTCAGGGGATTGTGTCAAAGGGATGGCTGCTTTGGAGATTTCAGTGTGACCAAAGCCTTTGAATGATCCCCTCTGTTGCCTTCTTCCCAACAGGCTTCCAGCTCCGCAAGGTGGAGGAGCAAAGGGAACAGGAGAAGCGGGACGTTGTGGGCAATGATGTGGCAACGATCCTGTCACGCCGCATCGCTGTGGAGTACAGCGACTCTGAGGACGACTCTTCGGAGTTCGATGAGGACGAATGGTCGGATTAACCACAGTCCTGTCCCCTTCTTCCCCTTCTCTCCTGGGTTAACGTCTTCTTAAAGAATCAGGTGGCCAAACCTTCCACCACTTTCTTTTTCATCCCGTAACCAAAGATGTGCCAAGGGTTTTCAGACAACCAGCAGCATATCTCCCCTCCCTCCCCCTCTGGCTTTGGCAGGACTTTGTGCTCTGCCTTTCCAAAAGGTCTCCTCACGGACACTGAGGATGCGGTGTTGGGATTTAGCTGGAGGGGGTGTAACAGTTGCTTATTTAAAATAGAGCTAAACCTCCAGATTCTCGATGCCACCAGGCAGAGCACATATAAACCCTCCATCCTGAGGGATTTTTAAAGTAAAGATGGATGATCCTGTTGTGGCCGCGTGGCCTTTCAGATGAAGGACATTTTCAGCTAGTTTTCTCATTGCAACAGCAGACAGTTGATCTGATGGCTCTTCCTTTCCAGTGAATACTGGTAGTGCTGCAAGAAAATGGGCTTTAAATGTCTGTTCTCTGCTGCATCCCACTGTCAAATAATCAGTTTTTGGCAATAGTGCACAATTCTTTCCCCTCTGACCCCCTAGTATTATTTCCAGACTACCCTGCGTGGGGTGCGCTTCCTGGCTCTAGGGCTGTGGAGTGCATTGGGTGCAATGTGAGGAGGGACTCTCTTATTTTAAAAGCTGCCTTTACCTTCCTCAAATCTCCTGGACTGCTTCGCCAAGTCTGCCAAAGGGGACTTGCACAAAGGGATGCAAAGCCAGGGCAGGACGGTTGCTCAGCTTCCCACTTCTGGGAGAGCAGAGCCACTGCCCCACCGAGACACATCTGTGTGGTCAGCACTGAGTGGTGGTGAAACTCCACTTTGCTGATTTCTCCAATTCATGCTGAGAGTGTGTTTAAAAAAAGTGCCTAGAGCAGGGAGATGGTGTGGGGAGGGGTTCTCTGAACACCAGGCACTTTGATCTTCTTTGGCCTGTTCAGGGCAATGCTGCAGTTAGTTTGAAGAGGTGCTTTTTCTAGCAGGGTGACCATACTTTTTTGCACAGGGACTTGAGTAGCAGAAAATGCTGGTATTACCTTTGCTTCCTCCTCCCTTCCACCTAAGGAGGGGAGTTTGTGTGCCTAAAAACATCTAGTGTGTGAACTGAGTTGCCCATCGGTTACATCAGCCCTAACCTATGTTGTTTCCCATAATTTTGTTATTATAATTCATTAGTTACTTTTAAGGAAACATTTCTTCTCACTAACCCTGTGAATTCCCAGGCTGCTCACTACAGATACAGTACTGGCAGGGGGAGAAAATGGTGAACTTGAACTAGCTGACCTAGGTTTTATTGCTGTTTTATGTTACCTTACACCGAACGTAAGCATATTTTGGAAATCAACAAACAAATACCCCTGATGTTACAGATGTGCTTTTGGTATTTTAATTTGGATGTGACTCTCTCAGGGTCATGCAAGAAAGCAATTCCAAAGCCTTTTGGAGATCGTGGGTCCAGCTGTTGTGAGGTGGGACCAGCTGCATGTCCCATTAAGACCAACTCTCCAACCTCTTTGCCTTTCCTATTGCAAAGTATTTTGCCAGCCTGTGCCTGTTCTTTCTTCTTTGGCTTGCCTCGTTTAATGATGTTGCTGATACCTGGAACGCCAGGCCCAGCCCGAGGCTGCCAGGTTGCTGAAAATCCTTCTTGGGGTTTGATTGATGGCTTCAGTTTGTGCCATTGAGTTCTTACTGATTTCTTATGTGCGTGTGTGTGCGTGCGCATTTTTAATCTTTGACAAAGCAGATGATGACCTGGAGGATGGGCTTTTCTGGGGTGCAGATCAAGCTGAGATCCAGCGCGACCCTGAGAGATTTAGTGGACCGCTGCACCATCAGATTTTGTCTGCAAATCAGCTGCTAGGCAGGATGCAAAGGGCGTAGACGGTGAAGCATCCCGATGGGCTGGGAACATCTGAGCCATGCTAGTTCCAGGTTCTGGAAGAGGGAACAAACCCCTCGAGTGCCAGTGAGCCATCGTGCAGTGTAGGGACTTGGAAATGCAAACTGATTATTGCTGCAAGCTGGGTAAGGGGGGCTAGAGGAGAATCGCTGCCTCTTGTTTTTCTGCTCTTTCTGTAAGCATCCTCCTCTGGCTTCTCTCGGAGACAGGTTCCTGGGGAAAACGGACCTTTAAGCTAACCCGGGCTGACAGCATTATCACACAGGGAAGCGAGGAGCTCGCAAATGCCAAACCTGGGTTAATTTTAAATTGCCTTAACTAGACTTGGCCCCTGTTGGGAAAGGGGAGTGAGTATTCCTGTCACGTGAAATACAGAAAAGTGCCATATTCTCTGTGACCCAGATGGATGGTCTGTCAGGCAGGGCCATGCCTCGAGGCATTAGGGACACAGTTGCCCCACGTGCTGCCTGTTGCACAAGGATGCTGTGTGGGCGATCCAGCATGGCTGCGGGTGGAGTCGGCTCCTCTGCCTGCCTCGCCTGCTTGCAAGGCCCTCCTGGCAGCAGGAGGGACGCTGCTTTGTCCGTGCAAGCCTGCTGTAACCACCCTCTGTTTCCAAACTCGCATCCCAAGGTGAGAATCAAAACTGCTGGATCCTAAGCAGAAGGGTTGTGGACAGGTAGGGAAGGTTGGTTGTTGGGTTTTGTTTTTTTTTAAATCTCTTTCAATTGCAAAAAGAAGTGGTATGAGCCTAGTGTGGAGATCCCTGAGAAACAACTGGTGTAACGTGACCGTCTCTGAGTATCGTTGCAAAATCACAGAGCACTGGGCCACCAAGTAAGCTTAATATTTCTTAAACCAGTAGGGGAAGAGGAGAGGTGCCAAAAACAACCTTTGCAAGACAGAGCAGCTGTGCTGTAACTGCAGGGCTGCTGCCCCATGTAGACTGAGGGCCTGTGCTGGACTCCCCTGCCATCTTTGTCATTTTGTGTTAAGTTACTCCTTCCTCCCCTTTTTCCGTGTAAGGCTGGGTTGAACAGCACGGCGGGCGAACCTCAAGCATTTCACAAAGCCAAAAGCGAGAGCTGGCAGCTGGGGTCCTCCCTGCTCTCCGCCTGCCCGGGAGGAGCCCCCGTCTTTCCATTTCAGCCCAACCCGTGTCCGTATGGAGACGCAGAGCCGGAGCAGCCATTTCGCCCGTCCTGGGAGCCGTTTGCTCGGGGCGTGCAAGTTTGGGCAGGCCACCGCTGCCTTCCCCTTCCCGGCGCCGCGCTCCTGGTTAAACATTCTCCCGGTGTCCTCGCCCGCAGTGCTTGGCTGCTGCTCCCGGCAGCCTCTCCCCCGCTGCCCCCCTTCCCGCGCTCGCAGGGAAAGCCTCGTCCCGGCTCCCTGGGCTCAGCCTGGAGCCTCATCCGCAGTCGGTGACCTTCACTGCTTTCTCCTCTCCTTATCAGACCCAAAGCACCAGACCAGATCGAGGGAAGGGGCTCCTGGAGGTCCCAGATGGCCAAGAAACTGTGCAGAGTGTCGTTTCAGGGAAAGGATTTTTTTTTTTTTTTTTTTTTTTCAGTCCGTGAACTTATTTAACGTGCCTTGTTTGAAAGTACCTGCCCTTGACAGGCTCTGGCGGGGAGCTAGCTGGCAGGGCCTTGCGTGGGGCAGATGCAGCTGCCCTGGGTCAGGTTTCATTGCTGTTGGATTTCGGGGGGTGCTTTCTTCTCTTCCTTTTTAAACAAAGCCTTGAAGTGGGAAGTGGATCTGATGTTTTTATTACTGTATTAACATTCATTTTAATTCATTTCAGAAACTAACTCATTTTTCTTCCTGATTAGAATGTCATAGAATTAGACGAGCTGTAACCCTCCTGAAGTGCCTTATTTTCCTACATGATATAAATATATTTATAAGAGTAATTATTCCACTTGTATCTTAGGGGTTTATTGCTGAGCAGAAGATATGGTGGGAGGAGAGATGGGAAGTGCCCTCGAAGGACCCAGCCAGGCCAGGGGTCGGAAGGGTGATGTTTGACAGATATTCTCAGGGTGCGGGGGGTTACTCACTTCAGACCAAAGGAGTTTCAGCAGTGAAACTCTGCTTAGGAAAAAGGAAAAAAAAAAAAAAAAACCAACCTCATGAGCAAAATACTGTAGACTTGTTTGGTTTTCTTACCCGTGCAAAATAAACACTGATGGCCAGACTCTGCCGCCTCATCTGCACGGATGCAGTGGGCATAAAGCTGCTGCTGCTGGGGGAGTGGAGCCCGGTCCATACCTGTGCATCCCAGCGCAGACCCGCTGCCTTCTGTTTTCCCGTGTAATGTCTGTCTGTGCTGTTCCCTGTCGGTTGCTGTGTAAGCCAGGCTTTCCTGCTGCTTTTTTTTTTTTTTTTTTATAATCAGCTCAGTAACCCCTGGATGAAGATCCCAATTTCAAATTTTTTTGTAATGTACATGTAAAAACAAACAAAAAAAATTAATTTTTTTGATCCTTTTTTAAAACTGTAAACTTGATAAAACCTTTCTATCCAATCGGTGCCTGCGTGTGTTACTCCGAGCATGTGTTGGGGAGCTGCGGTGTGGTCTCTTGCACGTGGAAAGTGGCTGGTCCCGGCCAGAGGGGCTGCTGCGACTTGTCTGTGTGTGACTTCTCCTGCCCAGGAGCATGGGCAGGTGCCGAGCCACGTGAGCGGCTCGTGCTCGTACAACTTGTGTCCTGTACTGCATCTCGCAGGGCTGCTGGGGTGTAATTTGGGGAGCCTGGCTGCATTTGACGTTTCATCGAGGGCGCCCGGGCTGTGTCCTGTCTGCAGGTGCCTGGGCAGAGGGATGAAGAAAGCCAGCGGGTCCCAAGCTGTCTTGCAGACGCCATCCGCGCAGCAGCCTCTTCCAGTACCGAAATGCAGCCGTGCCAAGGTGGGTTGAGGATTATCGATGGTGGTAGTTAGTGCTGCCTGCTGTGGGTAACGGCGCCAAGGAAGCGCTATCCAGGAGGAGCTACCAGCCTCCCGTGTGTGCTCCCTGCCATACGAAATGAGCCCATGCTCCATCTTGCAAGAGCGGAGCTGCTGCAGCTGGGGTGGGAGGGGGCTGCTTCTGCTTTTTTTGCCTCCATTTCAGCTGCTCAAGGTCCCTTAGGCAGTTAATCTGCCTGGCCCCAGCCGCAGCAGCGATGGCTCCTGGCCCTGTTTTCAGGTGCCTTGTCTGGGCTTGGTACGTGAGCCTGTTGTGCGGGTGTATTTTCTTGCCGGTCGGTGGAGAGCAACAAAAGGATCCGTCCCTGCTGCTCCTCGTCCCTGCTTTTACCGCGAGCTTTGCTCTGCCAAATTCCCTTGGCTTCTAGGAGACACCCGTGCGTTCGCTCTGCAGCGCTGTGCCTTTCTTGGCTGACAATAGTCCCTGGCTGCAAAACCTCATTAGATTAATTGGCCTTGCCAGCTTCTGAACAAGCAAGCCCTTTAGTCGTGCTGGGGCACGGAGGGCAGGGGAAGGAGGGATCTCTTGGGCTTCCACGTCCCTGGCGCTGTGTGTCACGGCTCTTGGCTCCATCTCGAATCCGGGAGGAGCAGCCGGTGCCTCCGGCTCCCTTGTCTGGATGGGTGCGGCTGTGGCCAGGGTGAACTTGGTGCCTCTGCTTTTTTGGGGTACACACCAGCACACAGCCCTGCGCTTTTGGGTTACCGGCCCTTGAGAGTTATCTTTGGGAATTGGAGGGGTGGGTGTACGAGCAACCCACGGAGCCGGGGAGAGCTCCTGCAGACCGAGAAGCCTCCCCTCTCCTGCTGCTCCCTGGCCCGGGGTTTAGCTCATTATGGGGAGGAAAAGCCCAGCAGCGAGATGAATCGTGTGCCGGTGTTCTCAGAGCCTGAGCCCCTTCCGTGAGCAGCAGTTTCCTATGGAGGAGCTGCTGCAGCTGGGGGAGAGTCTCTCGGGTTCTGCTGTGCCTTGGCACTCTGGCCTTGGCCCCAGCCTTTGATGTGTTTGCCTGTCTGTCTCTTCCACGGGGCTCGGCACCGGATCACAGCTGGCCGGGCTCTGGCTTCACAGGAGCCCCTGTCTCCAAAGACCTATTTAATTTTCTCCTTCAAGGTGGTGTTAGCAACACCCAGAAGATGCTGCCGGCTGCCTTGGACGAGTGGGCTGCGTGTCCTTTCCACCACTGACGTCAGCTTCTCTCCCTTAATTCCCCCTCTGGGACCAAAGCGAGTGCAGGCGCTGCCAGCTCTGATCAGCGTTAACAGCCTGCTCTCCCAGTGTGTGGCAGCGCTCTGCCTTGCCAATGTCACCCCCGACTCGCGCTGCCTTCGTTAGCCAAGCATCCATGGGTGGTGGGAGAGCACTACCCTCTTCCAACTCCCCGGGAAGGGCCCGTTGCCAGCAGAGAGTCCCCATTTCTTGCACGTAGGTGTGCTGAGATGGCAGCTCAGCCCCTGTAGAAATGGCTGACTCCTTCTCTCTCGCTCTCTTTCTGCCTTTTTTTTTTTTTTCTCTCCTCCCTGCCTTTGCTGTTGCCTACGCGGTTGTGTGGGGAAGGCAATCGGCTCCCGTGCTGCGGATGGCTTTATCTGTAACTCTTCCATCTGCTCACAGCAGCTCACAAATAACCACGGGGTGCCAGAGGAATTATGTATTTGGAGCTCAAGTTTCTGCAGTCTGGCAGGGCAGCAGCTCTGCGCTGGGCTCATCCGCTCCTGCAAAGGCCAGCGCCTGCATGTGGAGGGCTTAAGGCAGCCGGCGCGGAGCTGGGGTTGTGGCCAGGGCCAAATTCCGCTCCCCATTGCCGTCTCCAGGCCAGGTTGAGTTAGACAAAGCCCCAGCCCTGAGCCAGCGTGGGAGCCCGGTCCTCTGCGAGCTGCCAGTGGGAAGCAGAGGGTGCTGCCGGCCCTGGGTCCCTGCACCCCGGTCGGGCAGCCAAGGGCTCCTGGCACGAAGCCGCCTTCTGCATCGGATGTTGCTGCAGGAATAAAATGGGAGGCTGCAGGGTGCTAGGGACGGACCTCCTTTCCACCCTGCTGTTTGCTGTCTCCCACCCAGAACAGCACTTTCGGACAGGCTCTCCTCCCCGGGAAACGCTGGCCGATGCCTCCCAGAGCCACGGCTCCTGTGGTGGCCGGGGACGATGCTCCACGGCCCAAGCCGCACCGGGAAATGCCTCCCGCTGCCCCACTGCCTTCGGCATTTGGTAAAATGCTTACGAGCGGGGCCGCGTTTTCTTCATTTCCTGCCTGCTCCTGCTTCCAAGGAAACAAAATCCCCCAAGCCAGGGCTGAGGTTTCTCATTTAAATGTAACCCAGGCCAATAACCAGGGCTGCTCAGCCCTCCCTGTAGCCTGGTGTTCCCAGCCCGGCCGCCCACGGTGGTGCAGGGGGGATGTCGAGGCTCACGCTCCCTGCCGGGATGCACCCATCATGGGCACCCCAGTAAATCACTGGGAGCAGAGACCCACCCTTAGGATGCGATTTGGGCGATGGGCAGCTCTCGGCTCTGCCCCAGGCAGGTCAATTGGGGTTCGGGGTGCTGGTGGGAGGTTTTGGGGTAGCAGCAACCTCCCTCCCTTCTCCAATCTGGCAAAGCTGCCTTGTTTTTGGTACCAGGGCTTGAGTGGAGGCTTCTTAGCGGGTGGCTCTTGCCTGGCAGGGACTGGCCATGGCTTTGCCATGGTTACTGCCAGCTCTCTTGCCCGGCATCGCTGCTCCTGGCAAGGTGGCAAAGGGCAGGCCGTGGAGCTGTAGCCGAGCCCCGCTGCTGCCAATGGGACAGGGGCTGCCCGCAGCAGATAAGGGGAAAAAAAAAACCTGCCCGGACCCCCATGCCCTCACTGCAACATAGGCAGGGTTTGGAGGCAAGAGGCTGCCTGTGGCTTACAGCATCTGCTGGGAGCTGTGGTGCTGGGCAGGGGGTGCCTGGGGAGGGCTGGGCCTGCCAGATGTGCATGCACAGCTGGGGTGATGGCATGCCAGTGCCTTTATCCTGCTCACAGCCTCTTAGCTCATATTTTAACCCCAAAGATGGGCCATCGGTCCCTCCCGAGCCTCTCCTTCACATCGGCGGCGTGGGGGTGGCTGCTCAGCGCTCGGGCGCCTTCTCGGATGGATTTGACTGTTTTTTTATACCTCCGCTTTCTGCATCTTTCTCCACCAAAAAAGGGAGCGGGCTGGGCCCTGCTGCGGGCTGTTTACCTCCCCGCTCGGTGCCGCCTGCTCCGTTCCCTGACGGCCTGGGAGCAGCCAGGAACATCTCCAGAGTCACTGGCTGGTGTGCCGGGAGAGCAACCAGCACCACGGCACGGTCGGGGTCTCGGCTGCCTCCACCCCCACATTCAGCCTCGGCTTTCCTCATCCATCCTGGCAGGAGGGAATTGGACACAGGTAGGAGCCGAAGGGTGCGTTTCCAAGCCGGGAAGTGGCACACAGGGCAGCCACGCGCTGATCGACGGCCACCGTTGTGTCTGGTGGCAGCAGGGGATGGGGCTGCGAGGGGTGACGTTCTCGGGGCACCCATGGTGGTGGGTACGAGGGCTCAGTGCGGCCTCCAGTTCCGAGGGTTCCTGAGTTACTGGGGCTGGGTCGTGGTGGCTTTTGATGCCAGGCTCACCCCAGTTCCTGAGTCCTGTGAGTATCCCTCCCCCCAGATGAATTTGGGAAGCCCCATCAGCTCCAGTGCAGCCCTGTGCCCACCCCACCGCCGGCCGTGGTGGGTGGGAGCCTGAGGGGGGGGTCCCAGCAGACCTGCATGGTGCTGCCTTTATGCCACATGCTTGCACACCCTGCAGCGAACCCTAGCGTGTCACCCTGTCCCCAGGGGAGATGACAGGGACCCCAGGGAGCAGAAGGGACCGGCCAGGCTTGCCCACCGTGAAGAAGCAAAGGGGCTGCGGCTGCTCCCTCTGAAGACATCAGTAGGGGAAGCACGAGGGAGAGAAAAGCTATTTAAGCTGCCGTACAATGTTGACATAAGAACAACCAGGTATAAACTGCCTATGAATAAAGCAGGGCTGGGAATTACAGGATTTTTTACTGCTGGGGGAGGTGAGCTCGGGAATTATCCCCCAGCTGAGGGGTGGAGGGTCCTCAGCTCAGCCCTGGGGCATGATGGGTGCCTCCAACCCCCTGAGCTTTGCTCCTCTTCTCCTGGCTTAACATTGGTGGGGACAAAAGGAGCCCCAAATTCCCCAACCCCGACACCAGCGCTGAGCCCAGCCCCTGGAGAGCAGGAGACATAGGTCTGCGGGTCCTTCAGCCTCTCGCCAGCCCCATCTCCCCTCGACGCTTGCTGCCATAACCCCTTTCCAGTGCTCAGCTCGGCCAAGAAGCGGAAGGAAATCTTTATTTCCTTTGCAATAAACAGCACCAACCCTCCGGGCTGCCACCAGGTCCCCGAGCCCAAGGTGAAGCCAAGCCTCGGGGACCGGCGCGCATTCTGCACCACCCGTGCCGCAGCACCCAGCCGGGCTCCGGCTGCTCTTCAGCCCTGGGCTCTGCCACATCCCGGCGTGTCTGTGGATGCACAAATGCCTGTAAGAAACCTGCTGCTCCCTGACCGGAGTGGGCAGGGGCACGGGGGGCTCTCGGGGCACAGAGCCCTGCTACCGGAGGGGACGAGCTGCCCTAATTAGCTTTGCCATCGTTAACCCTGCCTTCCCCGCGATGAGCGCCGCACGCAAACGGCGTGGGCAGCAATGACGGGCATCCCAGACCCTATTTGCACGGTGGTTCTCGCAGCACGGCCACCTTGGCGCAGGGGCCCCGGGCAGAGCCCCGAGTCCTCCCGTGCCACCTTTGCCAGGAGAGGGGCCAGGGTGCAGGCAGCTGCCCGTGATCTTGCTGTGATGGAGGCAGCAATAACAGCACAAGGCTGGATGCAGCCCTTCTGCCTGCTGGACCACTCCGAGGATGAGGATGGCCGGCACCCTCGGTGCTGCTCCCCCAGGGCCGGCTCCTGCTAACAGGATGTGATGGGTGGGGGTAGTGCTGTCGCTTGGGATTTCTTAACCGGGAGCGGGGAGAAGGCCCTGCCTGGACTCGGGGTGATGGTACGGGGACCTCAACCTGCTTCCCCCTGCCCCCATCCCCTCCCCAGCATCAAAACAGCCGCATCTCGTATCACAAATTACTTTTATTCCCCCTCCCCACGGTTGTAAACATAGAAGCGGCCCCCCCCCCTTACCCCCGCTCTGCAGCATCCCACCGAGGGGTCCCCATCCCAAGGGGCCTCTTCGCATCCATCTCCCCCACCCACCCAAAAAATGTGCAAATCCAAATAAAGGCTTTAGCGGGGGGAGGGGGGGCACCCCTGGGTGCCATGGGGAGGGGGGGCAGTACCCAGGGGCCCCCAAAGCTGCTGGGTTTGGGGGTGCAGAGCCTCCGGCAGCACCCTCTGCCCAAAGGCAGCGAGCACTAGAGGGCAGCAAGCCCCAACGCTGGGCCGGTGGGAGGGCGGCATTAAAATCATATTAAATAATAATTAAAAAATAATAAATAAATGGATGAACAGCTGGGAGAAGGGGGTGGGTTTGAGTCCCTCCTCCTCCGGCAAGTGAGTCTCCCCCCCCTCCCCCAAACGTACAAAATATATTTTAACTATCTGAGGTAAATAACGAGGCTGTAAAAAAAGCAAGAGGGGAGCGAACGTTCCTGGTATCGCCCCCCCCTTAAAAAAATAAAGCATCATAAATAGTTTTAAAGAAAATATGAGGATCTCCCCCTTCTCTCTCACGCGCGCACGCATAAATATAGATTATATTATGGATAAAAAATATGTTTTTCTCTCCTGTAAATTCAAAAAGTGGAAAAATAGAGGAAGAGAAGGGGTTGTGCCCAAAAGGACGGGGCTGGGAAGAGCTGCTTGATTCTGACAGCTCCTGCGATGTGTCTCTGGGAATGAAAAGAAAAGGGGAAAAAAAAAAAAAAAAAGAAAATCCCCCAACTGCAATCGGTAAGTGAAAGGTGCAGAGAGGCTGGGGAGGGGGGGAAACGACATGTCAGACGTCACTGGGGGAGTGGGACCGGAAAGGCATGGTGGAGGAGAAGCACCCGCAGCACACGGTCCACAGCACTTTCTGGATCTCCTGGTTCCTGAAGGCGTAAATGACGGGGTTGATCATGGAGTTGTAGGTGGCGGGGAGGAGGGTGACGTAGGTGTAGAGGGCCGGGTAGCTGTAATCCCCCAGGAGGCAGTAAATGGCGAAGGGCAGCCAGCACGAAGCGAAGGTGCCCAGGATGACGGCCAAGGTGGCGATGCCTTTTCGGGTGGTGACATAGTGGGAACTGGCCAGGAAATGTCTCTGGACGGCGATCTGGTGGGCGTGCCGGCAGACGATCTTACAGATCTGCACGTAGAGCTGGAGCATCACCGCAAAGACCATGAAGAAGGAGACGGAGAGGATGATGAGGTGGTTCTTCGTCAGGGGCTTGACGATGCTGCAGGTGGAGGGCTCCTTCAGGCAGTTCCAGCCCATGATGGGCAGGAGCCCGTAGCAGATGGAGGCTCCCCAGGTGAGGATCAACATGATGTAAGTCCTGGTGACCGTCTTCTCCGAGTAGTAGGTCAGGGCGTTGTAGAGGGACAGGTAGCGGTCGATGGTGATGGTCAGCAAGCTGCTGACGCTGGCCGTGAAGGAGGTGACCAGAAGCCCCACCGTGAGCAGGCTGACCGCTTCCGATGGCATGAAGTAGACAAAGGCAAAATGCAGGATCAACCCCAAACCGGCCAGGAGGTCGGCGGTGGCCAAGCTGCCGATGAGGAGGAACATAGGAGCCCGGAAAGCCGGGGTGTAGAAGATGACCACCACCACGATGGCGTTCTCACAGGAGATAATGGTCCCGGAGATACAGAGGACGACATCCCACGGGTTCAAGGCGAGGGGTTGCACCACAGACTCCAGGTCCAAGGAGCTGCCGCTGCCGTTCCTGGCCGTGAACCAGCCTTGCTGGTCTTTGCTGGAATTGGGGGGCCCTTCCTCCATCATGCTGGCGGAGGCTGACCTGCCGCAGCCAAAAGCAAGAACAGCCCCCTCCTCAGCACCCACTGCCTGCGGTGGGGACCCACTCAAGCTGTCCCTGTGCCACCCAGCCAGGGACAGTCCTGCCTCCCCCCAAAAGTTGTCTCCAGGAGGGGGGGACAGAGCGGTGTGTGTTGAGGGGGTGCTCTGAGGGGATTTTTCTGCACAAGGTGGTTTGGTTTTAATTCTTTTGCAAGCAAAGAAAAATAAATAGGTGAATAAGGGGGGGAGCAGGGGGGAACCCCCACTCAGCCTGCTCCTGCCTGCATTGGCTGCTGGGGTTTCTGCACTGCGTGATTTTGGTGGATAAATACAGGAGAGCAGGACCGGCCCTGGCTTGCCCCCCCCGCCCCCCCCGAGGGCTTCGGGGCCAAACTGAGGGGATCCCAAACAGCAGGTGAAGGGGGCAGCCCCGCTCCCCCGGGACCGGCAC